GCGATTTTCTTTAACTTCGGGAACGGTTTTTTGCGAATAATTTTCACCAAAATACATTTTTATTAAATCGAGTCTGCCAATATCGTTTAACAATTTTATTAACTTACTATAATCTGTATTCGAAAAATACGCGTTATTTTCTAATAACCTTAAAAATAATATGGGATTTGTAGCCTTTTCCAAATCCCCAGCACCAATATCATTACTTACGAGATAGCTCATGGCATATAAATCATTTTCTTTCAAATTTTTCGCTAAATTTACTAATGTGACTTTAAAATCATTCGAATTCATCTTTGATGCAATAGTAATTTGATTTAACTATATATAGTAATCTGATTTAACTATATATGGTGAACAACTCCAGTACATACATATATTCAATTTTTATGACTTGTTTACAATTACAATTACAATTACATCCCAAAGACCTAAAGTGCCGAATTTACTCATCGCGCAAATAGTGTAAAATATGACGTTTGTTTTTTATCTAATTTATCTAAAATGAAATGACATTATATGATCTAAGGTGATTTTAAATTATTTGCGCATTTATAGTAAACAATACCAAAAACGGAACGAATAATAAAAAAATAAATTATGCTAATTTTTTAATAAAATATTTACAAATTGGTAAAATAAAAGACGCGACTGATTGATCTTGTTATTAAAAAATTTGATCTTGTTATTAAAAAATTTATTACATATTAATGATTTATATTATAATGGCAAATTATAAAAAACGAATCATATAAATACAATAAAACCGGAATTTTTAATACGATCATGGTATGTTGGTAAAAAAAAGACGCAAATTAGTCAAAAAAGTTATCACTGTTATGGAAATTAAACCTTTCCCATTTCTCTAATTATATCATAACGTTCCATAGATTTAAGGATTTTCACAACTTTTTCCCGATCGAACAACAATCTTTCTTCCAAAATGTCGAACATAGCGTTGGCTTTTTTATAGGCTCTATCATAATCATAATCAATGTTATTGATATCTGCATCTGAAAGTCCACCATGGATCGCAAATATCTTCCAGTCAGGCCCAATATGTTTGGCAAATATATTTACCCATTTGCGATTTTCTTTAACTTCGGGAACGGTTTTTTGCGAATAATTTTCACCAAAATACATTTGTATTAAATCGGGTCTGCCAGTAATTTGATTTAACTATATATAGTAATCTGATTTAACTATATATAGTGAACACTCCAGTACATACATATATTCAATTTTTATGACTTGTTTACAATTACAATTACAATTACATCCCAAAGACCTAAAGTGCCGAATTTACTCATCGCACAAATAGTGTAAAATATGGTTTTGTTAAGGCAAGGCAATCTATTGTAAATTTATCAAAATTTTTGGTATTTGTTTGCTATAAATACTTTTTTCTATTTTTTGGCAAACTGTATATTGGCTTGAATTTTGATATTAACCAATATAAATATGTAAATAAATTAAAAATATATGTTCTTAAAAAGCCGTTTACACTCTTGAAGATTTAAAATAAAATGAGACAATGACAAAACTATTAAAAGAAACAATGATATGATAACAACATGTTAGTAATGAATAGTTATAAGTTCTATAGCGAGCGGGCGATTTACTCACTTACCTTACCTTACCTTAATATAGGTTTATTGTTGTAAAAACATTAATGCCCATTTAATAATATAATATAATGAGGACTAAAAACTAATCAGTTGTAGTTGTCGTTATCGCTACAACATAATCATAATTTACATATTTCTGTAATGGATAAACCTTTTAGATTTAAATAGGATTATTGTCTCGTTTTATTTTAAATCTTCAAGGGTGTTAATGTCGTTTCGTTAGATTAATCGAATAAAAAAAAGGACATATATTAGCAATATAATGTATACGGTCTTAATCCCCACCTCTATAATATAAACAGTTTTAGCATGAGGCAATTTTATTATAAACAAATTTACTTGAAACGGTTTTAGTATGAACAAATTAGATCGGTTTGCGTTTTTTTGTTTACCAGTTTATGGTCATTTATTAAAAAATTATTTATTTTTGTGTGTATGTGTATTTTTAATATTGATCGGTATCGACGCGCAAATAATTTAATAACATTTCCTTTAAAAAATGTGCCAAAATGGAAAAAATGGTTACATTCAATGTCACATAAAGTCGTTTTATTTGATTTGCCAATAATGAAATGAAACAGCTTTTTATGTTTTAGGTATTTATGTTGGCATTTATTCCATTTTTTTGTTTTTATGTGTATTTATATTGATTACCATACCAATAAAAAATGTGCGTAGACACAAACTGAGTCAACATAATTTGCCATAAAAATAATGGATGTAAATAGTAAATAATTACCAAAAACATAAATAAACCAATTTTTTTAATAAAAATGTTTGCAAATTCAATGAATTAACTATATTTTCATTTTCCTAACCATCTCTATAAAACAGTTATATGATTATTTAGTGCCAAACTCTTTTAAACAGGTCGCAAAAAATTCGTAATTAGTGCTTGAAATATCCTTTCTTTACTAGGAGAACCAATAAATCATACGCGCTCCCAATATTTTCCGTATCGCAATCATCACTATAATAAATATACCTTAATTTAAGTAAGGTTTCATTATTAATATTTTCAGATAAACCAATAATGATTTCTTGAAACTGCGTCTGTTCCATTTTAACACACAAAACTGATTTTAATATATAATGAATACTCCAATAACACATATATTTAATTTTTTGTAACTTGTTTACAAAAGCACTGTGTAATCTTTTCGTATTTAATTATCGAAAAAACTATTGTGTAATATTCTAAACAATTATTAGGGTTAGGGGTGGAAGATTAGAGCATTTAAGTCGTCTTACCATAATATTCTTTAATATAATATGTCCAAATTCAACGGCTTTTTTTACCGGATTTGAGTAAAAACTGTTTTTTTGTTTATTGGCACTCTTAAATATTTAGATCCGCATATTTTTATTAAATATAAATCCGATTTGTAATTTAACAAATTTGTAATTTTAGGCAAAATGATAACAGACATACAGTGAGCAGAAGACTAATACGGTATAAATTATATTGTCAGTGTGATCTTTTTATTTTGTCTAAAATGGAACGATTATGTGTGATTTTAGGTAATTTTATTATTGCCATATTAACGCGATTTTTAAGAAGAAAAATTTTTAAATTATTTACGTATTTATATCGACCAATATTATAAAGCACAAATGGATACTAAGCCAATATAATTTGTCAAAAAAAGTATTTATTGTGAATAAATACCGATAACACAACAAAAAACATAATTAACATGGTTTTAACAATAATATAAATAAAATGGTAAAAATAAAGAATTGACACTGTCTTGACTATTATGTTTGCATTTTAAAAAAGTAATATAATGTTGAAAAATTGAAATATCAACTTTATGATTTGTTCAAGTACAACGACTTGTTATCAACATTTGGTAATATAATAAACACTTTAGAAAATGGATGATTTTAGTAAAATTAGACGGTTAAATGGTGAAATAAGTCAAATGAAAAAAAACAATAATCCGCATCCTGGCATTAAAATAACGTTTGACGAAAATAATGTAACCAAAGATTGGAGAGTAACTTTAGAGGGACCTAAAGATTCCCTTTATGAAGGCGGGAAATTTCACGCAACAGTAAGTTTTCCGGTGAATTATCCTTACACTGCCCCAATAGTAAAGTTTGACACAAATATCAAACATTGTAATTTTGGATCTGACGGGAACATTTGTATAAGTACTCTAAGTAACTGGACGTCAGCAACGACTGTTGAATCAGTTATGATAGCAATATTGGTTTTATTGTCGGACCCAAATCCAGAGGACCCCCTAAATTTTCAACTGGCAAATCGTTATAAAAATGATAAAAAAAAATATGAAGAGGAAATCAGGGAATGGGTTAAAAAACACGCAAGTTCTAATTCCAATTCTCACGACACGAAAAAAACAACAGCGGTTCCGGAATATAATGAATCGGATTCCGACGATTCCGACACTGACTAGGAAAATGCCAATTTATCGTGTATACCGTGTTCAGCAATTAGATACCATATATATTTTTTTTATATTTTTGTTGATATAAGTCGATATAAACACGTAATTAACTTAATAACATGTCAATTTTGCAAAATTGTTTTTATTTTAGGCATGTAATCAATAATGCAAATTAAATTTATAATTAAAAAGAACATAATTACAACGATTAATACTGTCTTACTTAGTCTTTCTCATTATATTTTATGTTAAAAAATTGATAAAACAAGTGGTTGGGTTTTTATTTCTAATTTATTGTTTTATTAAATTGTTGGAATAATGAGTCCATATAAGTTAATATTAGATGGAGTAGTAAGAAAAAACGACTTTCTCGTCGGAAAAAAAAAAGTAATAATTCCAGAAACAAAAATGATTAAATATAATTGTGATGATTTAGTCGAAAATCCCATTACAACTAACACCAATGTTATTTTCAATAACATGAAAACAGATGAATGTGCAATCTATTTTTTAAAAAATGGTTTATCGAAATATGTGACTGTGATGAATTTTGCATCAAAAATCAATTGTGGCGGGGGTTACATTATAAACTCCAGGGGTCAAGAAGAAGATTTGTGTAAAGTCATGCCGGCACTTTATTATTCACTAAAAGAATACGTTAAATATCCTTTTCCTGGTGATTCAGTACTGATTACACCCAAAATCGGAATTTTACGTAAAAATAACAAAAACTACGATATGCTCGATACCCAATTGGATGTCGGAGTTGTTAGTGCTTCGGCACCAAATCTTCAACACGAATATTTTGATGAAGAACGAGTTAAAAGAACGCTAAAAAATATGTATTGTGCAGTAAAAAAATACATCCCTGATACAGACACATTAATATTAGGAGCATGGGGTTGTGGCGCATATAGAAATGATCCGAGTAGAATGGCAAAAATTATGAACGATATAAACTTAAAATATGGGGGGCATTTTAAGACGATTGTGTTTTCTGTACCAGATCCAAATAGCGAAAATGCCAGTGAATTTAAAAAACACATCACGTTATTTACGACATCGGAGACTGAAAAAGTAACACAACTAGTGAATTATAAGGGGTCGAAGATTAAAAAATGTTGGCACGACTTTATTAAAATATAAATGTGGTTAATCAAATGTGTGTGTTTTTTATTAATTTACTGGCATTTTATTTTATTTTTTAGTTTTTGTTTGCCATGAATACTTTTTCTATTTTTTGACAAGTTATATTCTTTTACTCTATTATGTTAACCATGTGTTCCGTTTTCGGTAATAGTTTACCATACACACATTAAAAATCAATATGCAACGAATTTAAAAATATTTCTCCCAAAACACGTTAAAATAACAAAAATTAATGAAAAACCATAAAAAGTTATTTTACTTTAGGTAAATTATTACCGTATTACTTTTCGCTTTTAAAAAACTAAAATGTGTTCTGTTAACATAAAAGTCAATACTGTTGCATTTTTTTATTTTTTATATGCAATATTTGTTATTTTATTTTGCCAACGGCGTTTAATAAAAGCGCTACGACGTATCATTATTTATTGTTTTTATATTAATTTGTATTTTTGATTTTATATCAAAAAATATTCCTTGCCATGAAACATTTATATTTAAAATATATTTTACTCAAAACATATTTTACATTACTTTACATGAATCACACTTTACATGAATCATACTTTACATAAATCGTTTTTTATCAAAACGTGTTTTACTCGAGTCATTCTTACTTGATACTTGAGTCATACTTTACATGAATCGGTCTTACTTAAAACATATTTTACTTGAGTTAGTCTTACTTGAACCATACTTTACACGAATCGATCTTTCTTGAAACAACTCCATTTTACATGAATCAGTCTTTCTTAAACAATTTTACATAAATCAGTTTTGAATCATAATTAACATGAACCATACTTTACATGAATCGGTCTTGCCTAAAATAATTTTGCTCAAAACATATTATACCTGAGTCAGTTTTACTCAAATCACACTTTACATGAATCAGTCTTAAAACAATTTTACTGAAAACATATTATACATGAATCAGTCTTACTTAAAACAATTTTACCAAAAACATATTTTACATAAATCAGTCTTACTTGAATCATACTTTATATGAATCAGTCTTACTTAAAACAATTTTACCAAAAACATATTTAACATGAATCAGTCTTACTTAAAACAATTTTACCAAAAACATATTTAACATGAATCAGTCTTACTTGAATCATACTTTATATGAATCAGTCTTACTTAAACAAAATTACCGAAAACATATTTAACATGAACCAGTTTTACTTATAACAATTTTACCGAAAACATATTTAACATGAATCGGTCTTAAAACAAATTTACTGAAAACATATTTTACATAAATCAGTTTTATTTGAATCAGACTTTATATGAATCGGTCTTACTTGAATCATACTTTACATGAATCGGTCTTACTTAAAACAATTTTACTGAAAACATATTTTACATAAATCAGTTTTATTTGAATCAGACTTTATATAAATCAGTCTTACTTGAATCATACTTTACATGAATCGGTCTTACTTGAATCACACTTTATATGAATCGGTCTTACTTGAATCATACTTTACATGAATCGGTCTTACTTAAAACAATTTTACTGAAAACATATTTTACATAAATCAGTTTTATTTGAATCAGACTTTATATGAATCAGTCTTACTTGATTGAATCATACTTTACATGAATCGGTCTTACTTAAAACAATTTTACTGAAAACATATTTTACATAAATCAGTTTTATTTGAATCAGTCTTACTTGAATCATACTTTACATGAATCAGTCCTAAAACAAATTTACTGAAAACATATTTTACATGAATCGGTCTTACTTGAATCATGCTTTATATGAATCAGTCTAACTTGAATCATACTTTATGTGAATCAGTCTTACTTAAAACAATTTTACACGAACAGCCTTGAGTTATACTCAACATGAATCGGTCTTGTGACAATTTTACTCAAAACATACTTTACATGATTTAGTCTTACTTAAAACAAATTTACTGAAAACATATTATATTTGAATCAGTCTTACTTGAATCACACTTTACATGAGTCTGTCTTACTTGTGGCAATTTTACTTAAAACATACTTTACGTGAATCAGTCTTACTTAAAACAAATTTACTGAAAACATTTTTTATTTGAATTAGTCTTACTTGTACCACACTTTACGCGAATCAGTCTTGTGACAATTTTACTCAAAACATATTTTACATGAATCAGTCCTACTTGAATCGCACTTCGCACAAATCAGTCCCACTTGAATTGAATCACACTTTACACAAATCGGTCTTAAAACAATTTTACTCAAAACATATTTAACACTAATCGGTATTGAAACAATTTTACCAAAATCACACATGCCATTAAACAAATTATATATGTAACATTCTTGCCACATGTCGATTTTAATATGAAACATTCCTGTTATGTAATTCTTATTACAAAACATTTTAAATGTGAATAATCATTATTACGATACGAAACAGTTATAATATTGAACATTCATGTTGCAAAAATATTAGTGATATGTAGTGATGTGGAACATAAATTATATTATCGTCGTATGTTCTTTTTCGTTTATTATGTATCTTTTTGCGGCATTTTAACAAAATGTTTAGGAGTGGTATTTTTGAATTAATTAATATGATTATAATAAATCAGTAAAAACAAACACTAACATATCAACTGTTTACATACCCAAAACACTATATCATATAAACAATAACAGTTGACAACTAATGACCTATTGCGACCAGTTTCTGCACACGGTCCTTTGCATTTATATTTATATTTATATTTATAAATTTGACAACATATTATGCGTTTTTTTGAAATAGCCTTAAAGGAAAAAAAGATAATAGTGCTTTTTTGTTTAATTTATAATCCTCTAAAACACAAAGGACAATGTTAAAATTTTTTACAAATAACTAAAAAAGTTGATATTTATAGTTGTTTAATTATATGTAAATAATTAGAATATAATTTTTACAAAACTAATAAAATGGCTGATTCTGAAACTTTTATAGACATCAATGAAATAATGCATAACCAACCGGTCATTAATGTCGGAATGATTGGGCATGTTACTAATGGCAAATCTACCATTGTAAAAGGTTTAACTGATAAAACGACACAACAATTTTCAAAAGAAAAAGAAAGAAACATCACTATTTGCCTTGGTTATGCTAATGCAAAAATATGGCGATGTAACATGTGTAAGTCGCCACAAAATTTTAGTGCATCGGACTCAACTGTTATGCTAAAGAGGTGTAACATGTGCGGTTCAAATCTCGATCTTGTAATTCATATATCGTTTGTTGATTGTCCAGGCCACAACGAACTTACAACTACGATGTTAAATGGATCAAGTGTAATGGATTATGCTGTTTTAGTGGAGGCATGTGATAGCCAAGTAGTTCCTTCTCCACAAACGGCAGAACATTTTGTTGCAACAAGATTATCAAACATCCCGACATGTATGGTCATAATGAACAAAATCGATCTTGTAAAAAAAGAAGAGGCTAAAAAACAAATTAATTCCATTAGCGAATATATAAAAAAAATGTATGAGCCTGGTTTTGAAAAATTGACTCCGATTATTCCGGTGAGTGCAACACTCGGAATTAATTTTGATGTCATTTGTCAATGTCTAAGTCAACTTGTTGTGTTAGATTCAAGAAACAGAAATGCGCATTTATTAATGATTGTGATTCGCAGTTTTGATGTTAATAAACCCGGAATAGATGTTTCAAAACTTAAAGGTGGAGTTATCGGGGGAACAATTAAACAAGGAACTCTTAAAGTTAAAGACAAAATTTTGATTTACCCGGGTATGGTTAAAAAAATTCCCGATTCCGATAAAAAAGATCAAGGAGCCGACTTTTATTACAAACCAATTAAAAGCGATGTTTTGAGTATTAAATCCGAGACAAACAATTTAAATTTTGCAATACCTGGCGGTCTTTTAGGGATTCAACTAACAGTTGACCCAGCTTTTACAAGAAGTAACTATCTGTCCGGTTCTATTGTAATTAAAGACACTGATACTGATACAAAACTAAAAGTGTATGATAAAATTATTATCGAAATTAAAAAATTCTTATACTCTTATGAAAAAGCAAACAAACTCCTTAAAAAAAAGCAAGAGTTAATGATAAACGTTAACTCAAATAATATTGATTGTGTTGTATACAAATATAATAAGTCAAAACAAGAATTATACCTAACACTTTTACAACCAGTTGTAATAGACAGCCTAAATAATAGTGTAATTGTCATAAATAAAAACACATGTAGTGATATAATCGGATGTGGTGCTATTATCGATGGCATTGAGTGCGAACTATTTAGTATTTAATATGTTTTTTTATGAATAAAATTAATTAAAAACTTTGTTTTTAATCTATAGTAATATACAACTTAATTATATAATAATTATAAAATGAGTACACATTTTGTATCACTAAAGGGCGACCGACCAAGTAACGAAGATTGTCATAATATTATTCTTGAATTAAATTCAGACAATAGAGATGTTGCAAAAGTTAATTATTATGGAATTTATGATGGTCATGGTGGCAAATTTGTTTCGAAATTTCTTATGGAAAATCTCCCACAATTTTTTATGTCATCAAAAGTACAATATCCACTAAACAGAGATTATGTTAACAATGTTTATGACAAAATCAAAAATGTGTTGTTTACAAAGTATGAAAAAGAATCTATGGAATGCGGGTCAACGTGTTTAGTTGTATGTCACTTTAAAGATTCAAATACTAATCACGAATTTTTGAACATAATGAATACAGGTGACTCAAGAGCAGTTTTATGTAGAAATAGCATCGCATATCCTTTAACAAGAGACCATAAACCGGATTGGCCTGATGAGACCAACAGAATAACAAAATTGGGCGGGCAGATTAGAAAAGACGGTGGTGTGTATAGAATTAATGATCTTTCTGTATCAAGGGCTTTTGGTGATAAAGAGTCAAGTAAGTATGTCACTCACAGACCAGATATGTATAAATACACATTAACAAAAAGAGACAAATTTATGATCATTGCATGTGACGGACTATGGGATGTAATTTCGTCACAAGATGCGGTAAACATGGTTTTAAGGATGTGTTACGACTCCGATAAAAAAAGAATCAATCAAAAAATAAATATATCATCGAAATTAGCAGAAAAAGCAATAGAACTTGATTCAGGTGATAATGTTACATGTATTGTTGTATTTTTTGACTAATTATTTCGTTTACTGTCGTTGCAAATCGAACGTGTGTCGCAATGTGAAATTGTTCAAAACAATTAATTGTGTAAACATAGAAATTAATATGAGAATAACAAATATACGACCAAAGTAAACATATCGTATAATATTTAATAAAAAAATTGTTAGCAATCGTGAATTATATAGGTTATAAAAAACATGGAACAACACATATTTAATATAATTCTCATAACTCTGGTGACGGCTGTGATATTATATCATTTTATCAAAAAAAAATTGCGCAAAAACAGGGTCATAGAAAAAATGGACATATCGTCAAACAAAATAAATAAACGTAATAAATTAAATAAAATAAAAAATTCAAATAAACCGAATAAATTTGATAAAATAGATAGAACAAATAACAAAAAACAGTGGTTTAGAGTTGCAAATAAATTAGTTGCCGATAATAATGTCAATGACGAATTTATTAAAACAATTAATTCGAAACTAAAAAATAAATTTGTTTTTCCTGACAACTATGACGGAAAGATTCAACCGTGTTCTTTTAATTCGGAATCAAGATCTAATATAAAAATACCACATCCTAACGAAAACGAAAAAATTATTGATGTTTTTGGAAACAGTTGTTATGCATATAAAGACTCCGAATATAAAAAGAGATATATTAATGACCACGTATTTGACAATAAATTAGAATGCTTGACAGAAAGACCAAAAACCCAATTTACAAACGACGATATTGATGCATATAGGGAAAAACAGTTAGAGTTTAGGGACAAAATAAATGGAACATCGTCTCCCGCAATAGATCCGGTCGATAAAATGAATTTGATTGCAATACAAGGCGGCATTAAAGCTCAAGGACAATCAATAAAAGATTACTATGATAAGTTGTTAGTCCCTAAAATATCATCACTTTCACAAAAACAACATAAACACCCATTTAATTTATGACTAGATAACATGAATTACGTATAAAAATTGAAAAATAATAATCTAAATAGTAGATACTCTAAATAAAATAAACAAGATAACTTGACATGTATTCTATGAAAAGAGAGCAATCAGATATACCTATACCTATGTATAAATTAGACGGATTTAACAACAATGGTGACGGATCTAGTGGGTCATCTAGTAGACTATCTGGTAGACTGTCTAGTAGACTTTCTGGTAAACCACCATTTAGGCACAATTTTATGGACGATAATAGAATTGGAACAAGAGACAATTTTAAGGTAAATTATCAGGAGAGACATAGAATAACAAATCAAGAGTTAATTAAATACATTTATTCGTCTCTCGACATTTCAACATTAAAGTATGATATTCTTAAATATGAACACCAATTATCGAAATTAATATCAGGCGTCTATTTTTTGTCACCTAACTATTTAGGTAAAAATTCTTTTTTAGTATTTACCAAGTTAAAATCCAAATACTACTCATTTATGATCGACAGACGTCAACTTAGTTATACATTTGACGTCAACTTAGTTATTATTAGACGTCAACTTAGTTATACATTTCGATACAGATAAAGTTTTTGTTGTCCATTGCAATGTCGATGTCGATATTGATATTTACTCTGGAACGATTCTTGACGGCGTGTACATAAAAAAAGGCAATACTCATGAATTTATCATAACTGATGTATTCATGTTTAAAGGGACATACTACACACATAATCGCCTCGACCATAAGCTATTAGAACTCGAAATGTATTTAGATAATATCAATTTACAGATTCAATTTGTTAAAGATAGAATAAACGCAAAAATTAATTTAGATCTCAAAGTTAATAAAATTGTTAGGGCAACAGAAATTAAGTCGTTTCTAACAAAAGACTTTATTGACATTGAAAAAAATTACCACGTACGGGGAATTTGTTTTTACCCAGGTATTTCGGGAACAAAACTTTTATGTCTTCCAAAACACACTGTTGATTCTAATTCTAAAACAGATGGTCGAATAGACATTCGAACAAATAATGGAATAGATAATAAATTTGACAACATTGATAACCGAACAGGATGTAGGGTCAGCAGTAAAAATGACAGGTCCGATACTGATAGCGGGGAGTCGGGTGGTTCATCAAAACCAAAAAAAGGTCTTTTAAAATCAAAGAATATCGTAAAGAGAGTTTTCATATCTAAAACCGATGAACCTATTTATGCTGTTTTAAAAATGGAATCAACAAAAATCGCCGATATATATAAATTGTTTGCTTTAGAAAAAGTAAAAGATGACACATCAGAAAGATTTAAAAAATGCCAAATGGATATTGCATATATCCCAAGCATGGAAAAATCACAATGGTGTAGAGATATAACTACAACATCACCGGATGGAAGTGTTTTTGTAAAATGCATTTGGAGAAACGAAAAAAGAAAATGGGAACCGATAGAACAAAAACTAGATGTTAAACTTCCGAGTCTAATTGACGATATTCGCAGAGATATTGTTGAATTAGAACGGTCCGATTCGGATTCGGGAGAAGAATAGTGGTTTTTTCATAGAATATATTAATGTGACATTATCATAACAGTTAAGTTTAGATTTTTTTTGTGTTCTATATGCATTTTTTGGTATTTTATTACTAGACATGCCATTACATTAATATAATTTGTAAAACTCCGATTTTTATAAAACACATTGATGTCATAATATAAAGAGGACAGCAACTTTTAGTAGAAATAGTTTTAGTGGATACAACATAAGTATGAAACAAATTTTACCTGAAACAGTTTTAGTTGAGGCTAATTAAGTATGTGGAATTATCAGTATATAACATTTTTAGTATAATAAATTCAGCATGAAATAAATTTAGCATGTCACAAATTTGGCGGGGACTATTTTAGTCGAAACAGTTTTAGTTGAAACAGTTTTAGTATATAACAAAATTAGCGTTGCAAAATTGGTGTGTAACATGTTTAGTGTGAAACATGTTTAGTGTGAAACAAAATTAGTATGTAACAATTTTAGTAAAAACAGTTTTAGTATGTAACATGTTTAGTGTGAAACAAATTTAGTATGTAACAATTTTAGTAGAAACAGTTTTAGTATATAACATGTTTAGTGTGAAACAAATTTAGTATGAAACCATTTTAGTATGAAACAATTTTAGTAGAAATAGTTTTAGTATGTAACATGTTTAGTGTGAAACATGTTTAGTGTGAAACAAAATTAGTATGTAACAATTTTAGTAAAAACAGTTTTAGTATGTAACATGTTTAGTGTGAAACAAATTTAGTATGTAACAATTTTAGTAGATACAATTTTAGTATGTAACATGTTTAGTGTGAAACAAATTTAGTATGTAACAATTTTAGTAGATACAATTTTAGTATGTAACATGTTTAGTGTGAAACAATTTTAGTAAAAACAGTTTTAGTATGTAACATGTTTAGTGTGAAACAATTTTAGTAAAAACAGTTTTAGTATGTAACATGTTTAGTGTGAAACAAATTTAGTATGTAACAATTTTAGTAGAAACAGTTTTAGTATGTAACATGTTTAGTGTGAAACAAATTTAGTATGTAACAATTTTAGTAGAAACAGTTTTAGTATGTAACATGTTTAGTGTGAAACAAATTTAGTATGTAACAATTTTAGTAGAAACAGTTTTAGTATGTAACATGTTTAGTGTGAAACAAAATTAGTATGAAACAATTTTAGTAGAAACAGTTTTAGTATGTAACATGTTTAGTGTGAAACAAAATTAGTATGAAACAATTTTAGTAGAAACAGTTTTAGTATGTAACATGTTTAGTGTGAAACAAAATTAGTATGAAACAATTTTAGTAGAAACAGTTTTAGTATGTAACATGTTTAGTGTGAAACAAAATTAGTATGAAACAATTTTAGTAGAAACAGTTTTAGTATGTAACATGTTTAGTGTGAAACAAATTTAGTATGAAACAATTTTAGTAGAAACAGTTTTAGTATGTAACATGTTTAGTGTGAAACAAATTTAGTATGAAACAATTTTAGTAGAAACAGTTTTAGTATGTAACATGTTTAGTGTGAAACAAAATTAGTATGAAACAATTTTAGTAGAAACAGTTTTAGTAGAAACAGTTTTAGTATGTAACATGTTTAGTGTGAAACAAAATTAGTATGTAACAAATTTAGTATGTAACAATTTTAGTATATAACATGTTTAGTGTGAAACAAAATTAGTATGTAACAAATTTAGTATGTAACAATTTTAGTATATAACATGTTTAGTGTGAAACAAAATTAGTATGTAACAAATTTAGTATGTAACAATTTTAGTATATAACATGTTTAGTGTGAAACAAAATTAGTATGTAACAAATTTAGTATGTAACAATTTTAGTATATAACATGTTTAGTGTGAAACAAAATTAGTATGTAACAAATTTAGTATGTAACAATTTTAGTAGAAACAGTTTTAGTATGTAACATGTTTAGTGTGAAACAATTTTAGTAAAAACAGTTTTAGTATGTAACATGTTTAGTGTGAAACAAATTTAGTATGAAACAATTTTAGTAAAAACAGTTTTAGTATGTAACATGTTTAGTGTGAAACAATTTTAGTAAAAACAGTTTTAGTATGTAACATGTTTAGTGTGAAACAAATTTAGTATGAAACAATTTTAGTAGAAACAGTTTTAGTATGTAACATGTTTAGTGTGAAACAAAATTAGTATGAAACAATTTTAGTAGAAACAGTTTTAGTAGAAACAGTTTTAGTATGTAACATGTTTAGTGTGAAACAAAATTAGTATGTAACAAATTTAGTATGTAACAATTTTAGTATATAACATGTTTAGTGTGAAACAAAATTAGTATGTAACAAATTTAGTATGTAACAATTTTAGTATATAACATGTTTAGTGTGAAACAAAATTAGTATGTAACAAATTTAGTATGTAACAATTTTAGTATATAACATGTTTAGTGTGAAACAAAATTAGTATGTAACAAATTTAGTATGTAACAATTTTAGTAGAAACAGTTTTAGTATGTAACATGTTTAGTGTGAAACAATTTTAGTAAAAACAGTTTTAGTATGTAACATGTTTAGTGTGAAACAAATTTAGTATGAAACAATTTTAGTAAAAACAGTTTTAGTATGTAACATGTTTAGTGTGAAACAATTTTAGTAAAAACAGTTTTAGTATGTAACATGTTTAGTGTGAAACAATTTTAGTATGTAACAATTTTAGTAGAAACAGTTTTAGTATGTAATGTGTTTAGTGTGAAACAAATTTAGTATGTAACAATTTTAGTAGAAACAGTTTTGGTATGTAATGTGTTTAGTGTGAAACAAATTTAGTATGTAACAATTTTAGTAGAAACAGTTTTAGTATGTAATGTGTTTAGTGTGAAACAAATTTAGTATGTAACAATTTTAGTAGAAACAGTTTTAGTATGTAATATGTTTAGTGTGAAACAAATTTAGTATGAAACAATTTTAGTATGTAACATGTTTAGTGTGCATAATTGTCAATGTGCATAATTGTCAATGTGCAACAAATTTAGTATGAAACAATTTTAGTGGAAACAAACCAAGCATGTGACATTTTTGGTTTGTAACAAATTTAGTATGAAACAATTTTAATAGAAACATATCAAGTATGTAACATTATTGGTTTGTAGCAAATTTAGTATAACAATTTTAACATGAAACAATTTTAATAGAAACAAACCGGGTATGTAACGGAGTCAGTATGACAGACTAAGTATGTAATATGGTGTGAAACAATTTTAGTAGAAACATACTAAGTATGAGACATTATAAGTATGTGACAAAGTCGGTATAATAAACTAAGTATGAAACATTTTTAGTATGAAACATTATTAGCATGAAACAAAAGTTAGTACAACAAAGTTAGTGCAACAAATTTAGTATGTGACAAATTAAACAAACCAAGTATGAAACATTTTTAGCATGAAACAAAAGTTAGTATAACAAAGTTAGTATA